CATACACACACAGAGACATACGAATATACATACAGACACACAGAGGGACATTCAGATACTGTATATATACAGACATATACAGAGAGACATACACACACAGAGACATACGAATATACATACAGACACAGAGGGACATTCAGATACTGTATATATACAGACATATACAGAGAGACATACAAAGACCCCCCATATAGCCTTAACAGACTGTAGGGGCAAGTGCTGTTAGCGAGCACCTATGAAAGCCGGAACGATACACTAGGGGTGGGTGGCCAGCACCACGCCCGACCGCCTTTGTCTCCCTCGTGGCAATGTTTACACACCGCACCAGGTACTCATTTGAGGCTGAATCGACCTAGGGGAGGCCCGGTTCAGAACCCGGGTCGCCAGGTTCATACACTATCGCTCCACACCCACGAATACATACACATACATACATGCATTCAGACATACAACACATATACAAACACACTTATACGAATGCACACACACATGCATACACACTCTCATACAGACAGACAGACACATACACTCGTAGACACTCATACGTGCGCACATCGACTCGCCCCAAGTTATCATCAAACGAACATGACCGTCACTCACATTTTACCCCATCGCGAGTGACTGGCAGCTCTTTGCATGGTCGCTGTGGGATGCCAAACAACCTCGCCATCGCTTCCTTCCGATGATGATTATAATAATGAAATAATAATGATTACTCCCTTATCTACCAGACTATAAGCAACACATAATTCAGAATCTTACAAGCTAAGTAGGTTCGAGGCCGCTTGGATTTGATAGGCAACCACCGTGCATAACAGGGTTGTTACAGGAGGCCCCGGCTACGTAGCGTGCAGCAGAGGGCACGGTCAGGTGACACCCCACGTGGCGTGGCGAGATCCCCATCCAGCAGTGGATTGACAACAAAGGGAATGGCTGTCTGTGGAGGCAGCAGTGAGGGTTGGTGGCTCACACACAGATGGGCTTAAAACTCCCTTCCTGTGGGCGCCAGGAGCATGCAGTACATCAACCGTGGACTAATCTCCTATTTGCATGGCTGGCACCTCCGATTAGTATGTTTGGCTACGTACGGTGCGACAGAAGTTGAACATTACGTCATCTAAATCTGTTACATCCGTATGGGATAGAGTGCTGCCCCCTCGCTCACACGCGTGGGGGTTTGTCGATTAATACAACAGAAAACTCAATTCATTAGTAATTGGCTGAAAACATCTTGACATATAGTGGACCGCAGAAGTTGGGCAAATTGTTGGTTACTGCTGCTGCCTTCCGCCTCGTGTCCGTGATTCCTGGACGATTTTGAGACGTGCAGTTCGCATGAACGACGACTAGGCCGCGAAAATAATAATACTGATCTACACGCGAACAGTTTAAATAGTATTGTGATATGGATGATGGGCATTCGGATGAAAGTGAGTTTGAAATCAGTTTCGGTGTGATTTCATTGTCTTCTAGTTTTGCCTGTTGGTGGTGAATCTAGCCATTTCACTGCATGTGTATTTACGGTATTTGGTACCATCGTCATCATAATCATCATCGTCATCATCGTCATCATAATCATCATCGTCATCATCATCGTCATCATAGACATCATAGTCATCATCGTAATCATAATCATCATCGTCATCATCGTCATCATAGTCATCATCGTCGTCATCATAGTCATCATCGTTATCATCATCGTCATCATCGTCGTCATCATAGTCATCATCGTTATCATCATCGTCATCATCGTCGTCATCATAGTCATCATCGTTATCATTATCATCATCGTCATCATAGTCATTGTCATCATCTCATTGTGATTCGTGTTGTAGAATCATCGCAATGGTCCCACGTGCTCTCTCTCTGTATCCGTGTCTCTCTCTCTCTCTGTATTACTCTCTGTGTCTCTGTGTGTGTCTCTCTGTATCTGTGTGTGTCTCTCTCTATGTCTCTGTGTGTGTCTCTATGTATCTGTGTGTGTCTCGATGTATCTGTGTCTCGATGTATCTGTGTGTGTCTCTCTCTCTCTCTGTATCTGTGTGTCTCTCTCTCTCTCTGTATCTGTGTGTCTCTCGCTATGTACCTGTGTGTCTCTCTGTATCTGTGTGTGTCTCCCTGTATCTGTGTGCGTGTGTCTGTCTCTATGCACCTGTGTGTGTCTCTCTCTATGTATGTGTCTCTCTCTGTATCTGTGTCTCCCTGTATCTGTGTCTCTATGTATCTGTGTGTGTCTCTGTATCTGTGTGTGTCTCTCTCTATGTATCTGTATCTGTGTCTCTATGTATCTGTATCTGTGTCTCTATGTATCTGTATCTGTGTCTCTATGTATATGTGTGTGTCTCTATGTATATGTGTGTGTGTCTCTGTATCTGTGTGTCTCTCTCTATGTATCTGTGTTTCTATGTATCTGTGTCTCTATGTATATGTGTGTGTCTCTATGTATATGTGTGTGTCTCTGTATCTGTGTGTCTCTCTCTATGCATCTGTATCTGTGTCTCTATGTATCTGTGTGTGTCTCTCTATGTATCTGTGTGTGTCTCTCTATGTACCTGTGTGTGTCTATGTATCTGTATCTATGTATCTGTGTGTGTGTCTCTATGTATCTGTGTGTGTCTCTCTATGTATCTGTGTCTCTATGTATCTGTGTGTGTCTCTCTATGTATATATGTGTGTGTCTCTTTGTATCTGTGTCTCTATGTATCTGTGTGTCTCTCTCTATGTATCTGTATGTGTGTCTCTCTATGTATCTGTGTGTCTCTCTCTATGTCTCTATGTATCTGTGTGTGTCTCTATGTATCTGTGTGTCTCTCTCTATGTATCTGTGTGTATCTGTGTATGTCTCCCTGTATTTATGTGTGTCTCTATGTATCTGTGTGTGTCTCTGTGTGTGTCTCCCTGTATCTGTGTGTGTCTCTCTATGTCTCTCTATGTATCTGTGTGTCTCTGTGTATGTCTCTATGTATCTGTGTGTCTCTGTGTGTGTCTCCCTGTCTCTGTGTATGTCTCTATGTATCTGTGTGTCTCTGTGTGTGTCTCCCTGTATTTGTGTGTGTCTCTATGTATCTGTGTGTGTCTCTCTATGTATCTGTGTGTCTCTGTGTGTGTCTCTCTCTGTGTGTGTCTCTGTGTGTGTCTCCCTGTATTTGTGTGTGTCTCTATGTATCTGTGTGTGTCTCTCTATGTATCTGTGTGTCTCTGTGTGTGTGTCTCTCTCTGTGTGTGTCTCTGTGTGTGTCTCCCTGTATTTGTGTGTGTCTCTATGTATCTGTGTGTGTCTCTCTATGTCTCTATGTATCTGTGTGTGTCTCTGTGTGTGTCTCCCTGTATTTGTGTGTCTCTATGTATCTGTGTGTGTCTCTGTGTATGTCTCTATGTATCTGTGTGTCTCTATGTGTGTCTCTATGTATCTGTGTGTGTCTCCCTGTATTTGTGTGTGTCTCCCTGTATTTGTGTGTGTCTCTGTGTGTGTCTCTATGTATCTGTGTCTCTGTGTGTGTCTCCCTGTATTTGTGTGTGTTTCTGTGTGTGTCTCTATGTATCTGTGTCTCTGTGTGTGTCTCCCTGTATTTGTGTGTGTCTCTATGTATCTGTGTGTGTCTGTGTGTGTCTCCCTGTATCTGTGTGTGTCTCTGTGTATGTCTCCCTGTATCTGTGTGTGTCTCTGTGTATGTCTCTATGTATCTGTGTGTGTCTGTGTGTGTCTCCCTGTCTCTGTGTGTGTCTCTGTGTATGTCTCTCTATGTATCTGTGTGTGTCTCTGTGTGTGTCTCTGTGTGTGTCTCTGTGTGTGTCTCTCTATGTCTCCCTGTCTCTGTGTGTGTCTCTCTGTATTTGTGTGTGTCTCTATGTATCTGTGTGTGTCTCTGTGTGTGTCTCCCTGTCTCTGTGTGTGTCTCTATGTATCTGTGTGTCTCTATGTATCTGTGTGTCTCTCTGTATTTGTGTCTCTCTGTGTGTGTGTCTCTGTGTGTCTCTCCCTGTATCTATGTGTGTCTCTGTGTGTCTCTCTCTGTGTGTCTCTGTGTCTCTGTGTGTCTCTCTGTATTTGTGTCTCTCTGTGTGTGTGTCTCTGTGTGTCTCTATGTATATGTGTGTGTCTCTGTGTGTGTCTCCCTGTCTCTGTGTGTGTCTCTATGTATCTGTGTGTCTCTATGTATCTGTGTGTCTCTCTGTATATGTGTCTCTCTGTATCTGTGTGTCTCTCTGTAATTGTGTCTCTCTGTATGTGTGTGTCTCCCTGTCTCTCTGTGTGTGTCTCTGTGTGTTTGTCTCTCTGTGTGTGTCTCTGTATCTGTGTGTCTCTCTGTATTTGTGTTCTCACGTAAACCGACTCCGCCACACGAAGCGCGAGCGCGACGTGACCGGGGGAGTCGGGGGAGAGAGGAGGCGGATCGGGGGGGGTGAGGGGGGAGGGGAGGGATCTGGGGGGGTGAGGGGGGAGGGGAGGGATCTGGGGGGGGGGGGTGAGGGGAGGGATCTGCGGGGGGGGGAGATCTGTGCTCGCGGGTGGTCGAGGGAGGGACCAGGAGAGGTTGGTGGTCGGGGGGAGATGGAAGGATGGGGAGCGGGTGGGGGAGCGGGTGGGTGGGCGTGCAGGAGGGAGTGATGGAGGGGGGAGGGAGTGAATGGGGGGGGGGGGGAACAGGAGGAGTGGGATGTATGGGGTAGGGAGTAACGGAGGGGGGGGGCGCAATGGATGCGGGGCCGAGAGTGTGGGACGAGGGAGGAGGAGGAGGTGAGGAATTTAGGAGTGGCGGGGAGTGGGAGGGAGAGACCAGAAATGAGAGTGGAGAGTGGAGGAGGGAAAGATGGAGAGTGGGAGGGAGGGAGGGATGGTGGTTCAAGGGAGGGAGGGAAGTGGGTGCAGTGATGGGAGGGTGAGGAGGAAGCCGCCGGGAGCGTGGAGGAGGGGAAGACGGAGTGAGGGGGGTTCTGGGAGGGTCGGGGTAGCAGGGTGGGGTTTAGGGGAAGAGGAGGGGGGATGATTGTAGGGCGGAGGGAGGGAGTGAGTGCACGGGGAGGGGTAGCGTGTAGTTGTAAATGAAGCGGGGCTCTTGTGAACTTGATGCGCCCACAGAGAGAGAGCAGAGCAGGGTGAGAGTGAGAGGGCAAGAGGAGAGCGGCGAGAAGCAGAGGGACGAGAAGAGAGGAGGAGGAAGAGGAGAGAGAGTAGAGACCGGAGGAGAGGAAAGGAGAGGGAGGAGCAGTGGAGAGCGAGAGAGAGAGCGAGGGAGGGAGCAGCAAGAGACAGGATCCAGGCGTCTCTCCTCTCCCACCGCAACTCAGCCGCGTCCCGCAACGGAAACGGGCCCGACATCAGCACCATCAGCAGCATCAGCAGCAGTACTATCAGCAGCAGCAATCAGCAATCAGCCCCACGGGTAGCGGAGCCGCGGAGAGATCGCGATGGAGGAGCGCTCCGGCCTCTCCTGCTGCGCGTGGCGCGGGGCCACCCTCCTCCACCTCGTCCTCCTCCACCTCCTCCTCCTCCTCGTCGTCACGGCGGCCTCAGCTCTCCGTGAGTGACTCTATCCCTGGGACAGGGGTCCCCACAACCCCGGGACAGGGGTCCCGTCTCATCGGGAGATGAGCTCCAAAGAGACCCCGCAAACCTGCGCTCCACCGCCCCCACATCCCCCGGAGATCTTGTGGGTTGTGATCCCCGGTTTCGAGATCTTGATTCACCCTGATAGGAGGTTTTAAGTCCCCCTGATAGGAGGTTTTAAGTCCCCCTGATAGGAGGTTTTGAGTTCCCCTGATAGAGGCTTTTAGACCCCCTGTAAGCAATTTTGAGTCCCCTTGGTATGGGTTTTGAGTCCCGTTAATATGGATCTTTAGTCCCCCTGAGAGTGGACTTGAGTACATCACTGGTGGGGGGTGGGGGGGTCTTGAGTCCCAGGTTAATGGGGCCTTGAGTCCTAACTGGATTCGGGGTGTCGGGTCTCCTCGAATTAAGGGGGCCCCCGACTCGTGTGTTTTAAAATAGGCGGCTGCAATCGAGGGGTGTGGGGACGAGGGTTGGTGGATCGCGCAGAGATTCGCCGACTTGAACGAGTGCGAGCAAGCGCTGTGAGAGAGTGGGGCTTCAGGCAAACGTCTCGTGAATCGGCGAGACTTTGCCTGTATCTGCCGTCTGCGATTGTTGTCGTCGTCGTCTGAATCACGGTGGTTAGCGCGCTGCGCTGTGGTCTCGGGTCCACCTGCGTTCGATTCCAGGCCACGGCTAACATCAGTGGCGAGTGACGTCTGAACTGGTGAGGTGGGTGTGGTGCTTGCACGGTGCCTGTAAGTCATTGTGATTCGTCTTCCGTTCAGCGTTAATGGAGAGGGCAGTGTTCGATCAGTGGCACGAGGAGGAGAGTGCGGGTGGGGGCACGGGTGTGTGTGTCTGTGTGTATGTCTGTGTGTGTCTGTGTGTGTCTGTGTCTGTGTGTGTCTCTGTGTGTCTTTGTTTATGTCTCTGTGTGTCTGTCTGTGTTTCTGTGTGTGCCTTTGTTTCTGTCTGTGTGTGTGTCTGTGTGTGTGTCTCTGTGTGTCTTTGTTTATGTCTCTGTGTGTGTCTGTCTGTGTGTGTGTCTGTCTGTGTGTTACTGTCTCTGTGTGTGTGTCTGTGTGTGTGTCTGTGTGTGTTTCTGTCTGTGTGTGTTTCTGTCTGTGTGTGTGTTTCTGTGTCTTTGTTTCTGTCTCTGTGTGTGTGTGTGTCTGTCTGTGTGTGTGTGTTACTGTCTGTCTGTGTGTGTTACTGTCTCTGTGTGTGTGTTACTGTCTCTCTGTGTGTGTGTCTGTCTGTCTGTCTCTGTGTGTGTATGGCTGTGTGTGTCTGTGTGTGTCTTTGTTTCTGTCTCTGTGTCTGTCTGTCTCTGTGTGTGTATGTCTGTGTGTGTCTGTCTGTCTCTGTGTGTGTATGGCTGTGTGTGTCTGTCTCTGTGTGTGTGGCTGTGTGTGTGTCTGTGTGTGTCTGTCTGTCTCTGTGTGTGTATGGCTGTGTGTGTCTGTCTCTGTGTGTATGGCTGTGTGTGTCTGTGTGTGTCTGTGTGTGTCTTTGTTTCTGTCTCTGTGTGTGTCTGTCTCTGTGTGTGTCTGTCTCTGTGTGTGTCTGTGCACTCTCCTGCCATCACGGGTGGAGCGGTGGCGCAGTGGTGAGCGCACTGCGCTGCGAACCCGGCGAGCCGAGTTCGATTGCCGCTCGCGCCCAACAGAAAAAAAGTGGCGAATATGTGAGCATGTCTTGGGCCTCCCCTCGGTCGACTCAGGCTTAAATGAGTACCTGGTGTAGCGGTGTGTCGTAAACATCAGCACTGGGGAGACAAAGGCGGCCGGGCGTGGTGCTGCCCACACGCACTCCCCTCGTGTGCCGTCTCGGCCCTCAAAGGTGCTCGCTCACAGCACTTGCCCCAACAGTTTGTTGAAGGCTATCCGGGGGATCTTTGGCTTTGTCCACTGCCATGCCGTGTAATGCCGTAAGGCTTGGGATGTGGCCAGGTGGCTCGATCCCTCTGCGAGTCTGCAGTTATCTGTGCGCGTCTATCGATCTCCCTGTGAGTATGTGGATCGATGAGGAAGGGTCATTGCCCGAAACGTCATCTAGTATATATTTTCTTTAAAAGGCCGCATTGTTGTTACTGACGAATTAATTGGGTTGTTGTTGTTGCTGCTGCTGCTGTCCACTGCTCGTGCACCAAATGCCACAAACATCGGCAGATATTTTTGTTTTGCACCGCGGTAATCTTTGCTCCATGCGCAGCGATGTTCTTCTTGTTAAAGTTGCCCTGCTGAATCATTTAGCGGTCGCAGCCACGGTGATGGCATCCGCATTGAGGCATCGGTTTGCTCGTCTCCTGTTTACAGCCCCGAGGCGCTGGTGACGATTCCACATTCCTATGACGGGGGAGGGGGGGATGGGGGCGGGGGGGGCGAGTCTATCCATCGTCACAACTGGCTTGTTAACCAATCTATCACTGCTATGATGAAGTTTTTGATGCTATATGGTGTATTTAAAAAAAAAGATCTATATATTTTTGTTTTCACCAAGTCATGGCCCACTGCGCTACGGAACTCTTCTTTAAAAAGCGACCTGGCCACAAATGAGAGCTCGACGAAGACGGCTGATCACGTGGCGATTTTTACAGCGGCAGCCAAAAGCTCTAAACGCGTGTGACGTTGATTGCAAATGTGGAGGGCAAAAAACCAGATAACTCCCCCCCCCATCACCACCCCCCGCCCGCCCGCCCGAGGAAAACAAATCCACGCGACCACCGAGAGAGAGACGCACCGCGAACTCCAAATATACAGCAGCAGCAGCAGCAGGGGTCGAGCCCACGACCTCCTGTAAAGCAGGCGAGGTAGTTAACATCTCCTAGCCACCGTGACGCCCACCGTGTACAAGGCTGCGCTATGCTGCCTCCTGTGGAGCTGTTGGTGGGAGGGGGGGTGGGAGGGGGAGGGGGGGGGGCCGTTATCAGACGGGAACAGTGGGAGGATGAGGAGGAGGAGGGACTGCACCCACGGGGTAGAGAGCCGGGGGAGGGGGGCACGGGGGAGGTAGGAGCAGGGGGGGGGCAGGTGCAAGGCTCCTTATCACGATTGAGGGCTTTTAGGGGAGAGGCTGTCGGGGTGTTCGGCTGCGGCGGGGGTGAGGGGGGTGAGGAGGGGGGTGAGGAGGAGGGGGGTGAGGTATTCGCACCCCGCTCATCACAAACAGAGAGACCTCCACGGTGACGCGGGGGCTGTCTGGGAGCCCAGCGCCCGCGGGTCACCGCTGAGCCGCCACTTCGTTTCACTCGGCCCCCTTCTCTCCCCGTCGACTCCGCTGTTTGAAAATAAAGCGCGGAGAGAGAATCGGGGCCGCGGAGAGAGAATCGGGGCCGCGGAGAGAGAATCGTGGCCGCGGAGAGAGAATCTGGGCCACTGAGAGAGAATCGGGGCCACTGAGAGAGAATCGGGGCCACTGAGAGAGAATCGGGGCCGCTGAGAGAGAATCGGGGCCGCAGAGAGAGAATTGGGGCCACTGAGAGAATCGGGGCCACTGAGAGAGAATCGGGGCCACTGAGAGAATCGGGGCCACTGAGAGAGAATCGGGGCCACTGAGAGAGAATCGGGGCCACTGAGAGAGAATCGGGGCCGCGGAGAGAGAATTGGGGCCACTGAGAGAATCGGGGCCACTGAGAGAGAATCGGGGCCACTGAGAGAGAATCGGGGCCGCTGAGAGAGAATCGGGGCTGCGGAGAGAGAATTGGGGCCACTGAGAGAATCGGGGCCACTGAGAGAGAATCGGGGCCACTGAGAGAATCGGGGCCACTGAGAGAGAATCGGGACCACTGAGAGAGAATCGGGGCCGCGGAGAGAGAATCGGGGCCACTGAGAGAATCGAAGCCGCACCAATCTGCCGCTGGAGTGCCGGGGGAGTTGTGCAAGGGGAATATTTTCCAGCAGCTGACAACAACAATAATAATAATAACTTCAACAACATCATCAACAACAACAATAATAATAACTTCAATATCATCATCAACAACAATAGTAACAACATCAACAACAATAATAATAACTTCAACATCATCATCAACAACAATAATAACAACATCAACAACAATAATAATAATAATAATAACTTCAACAACATCATCAACAACAACAATAATAATAATAACTTCAACAACATCATCAACAACAATAATAATAATAACTTCCACAACATCATCAACAACAATAATAACAACTTCAACAACATCATCAACAACAATAATAACAACTTCAACAACAACAATAATAATAACAACTTCAACAATAATAACAACTTCAACAACATCATCAACAACAATAATAACAACTTCAACATCAACAACAATAATAATAATAATATCAACAATATCGACGACAATAATAATATCAAGAACATCAACAATAACATCAATACTACCAACAACAATAATACCACCAACGTCAACAATACCAACAACAACGATGATAGCCATAACAACAACAAACAGCAGCAGCAGTGTTTCCAATGTTAGGACGTATCGGGAAATTCTGCCACTGTACGGGGACCGGTCCCTTTACAGTGGCACAGGGCGCACAATCGCTAATCAGAAGGCCGTCGCGAACCAGACGGCCGTCGCGAACCAGAAGGCCGTCGCGAACCAGAAGTACGTCGCGAACCAGAAGGCCGTCGCGCACCAGAAGGCCGTCGCGAACCAGAAGGCCGTCGCGAACCAGAAGGCCGTCGCGAACCAGAAGGCCGTCGCGCACCAGAAGGCCGTCGCGAACCAGAAGGCCGTCGCGCACCAGAAGGCCGTCGCGCACCAGAAGGCCGTCGCGAACCAGAAGGCCGTCGCGAACCAGAAGGCCGTCGCGCACCAGAAGGCCGTCGCGAACCAGAAGGCCGTCGCGAACCAGAAGGCCGTCGCGAACCAGAAGGCCGTCGCGAACCAGAAGGCCGTCGCGAACCAGTCGCTTGACCGTTTAACCGCCCGCGCCCACCAAGGGCTCCACTTTGTTTTCGCTCGGCGGTGACCCAGT